CCCCCCCAACCCTCCCCGCGCATCTCTGACCGCATTTACGCGGAAGGGTCGATCTCGCGGAAAGGGAGAGTGAAAGAAAGAGGGAAGAAACGGCCGCAGTGGTGTTTATCGCGCGGCGTGGGTGATGTGAATACTTTGCGAATCGAACAGTTTTGAATCGCCGATGTGAGCCGAATTAGCCCGAGCGTCCTCGAGCGTGCCATGCGATCGATTCGAAATAAACCAGAGGTTTCGCACTGTCGACCTTCCGCCACCCACCCTCAACCGTCTCCTCGTCACCCTTTCTCTCTCTCTCTCTCTCTCTCTCTCGTCTAAAAGATCCGCAGCTTCCTCCCGTGAGATTGCTGCATCGCCCCATATTTAATCAAGAGCTTCGCACCAGACCGATGCAAAGTCTCGACTCGTGTCTAATTCGAAGCTGACATTACGCGTGAACTGCTGTGGGATTTCCGAAATTAGCCACTAGAGAGTCGAAGCGGTGGTAGAAATTCGAGCAGGAGATTATGCGCAAGTAGAGTTTTCGGTTTACAGGTTGTCCACTAGTTAGTTTCTCCCTCACGATTAGAAAGGCTCAACAGCGGCAGAATTCTCTCGACTTTCGAAGATCTCGTTAATCCCTTTCGCTTTCTTCCGCCTCCGGTGAGGTCCGTAGAAGGGGCCTCTGTTGCAGCGGGATTGAATTCCATTTTTTTCCGCTTTCGTTCCTTTTTTCACATCCCACCACCCGCCCGCGCATTTCACACACGGCTGGCTTTTAGCGACTTCCCGATTGTCGGGGGAGGGAATTCACGTGGAGATCTCGACCTACCTCTCGTCGAGATCGACGCAGGACCACGGACGTTTTCCTCCTTCTTTTATCACACTTTCTTACAACTCTCGACGAGAGAGTAGATAGTGTGTACTCTCTGACCTCTCGGAGGTTGCGGGTCGTCTCGTTTGTTCAAGGGCTGGCTTCTTATCCTCGCCACCGCGTCAGAGCAAACTTTCCCCCGGGACGTCGAAACCTCTATATGAATCGCGTCGACTGTAATTACGCCGCTGAAAGTACGAGTCGGATTCTTTCGACGAAGTTGCTCGCGGCAGACAGGTTGCTCTCTCCCCCGGGAGCAGATGCGTCGGCGTTTGCTCTCGTCTCACGATTTACCAGATATATGTTACTGAAACAACAAGCGGCGTTCTGCGCTACTTTATAACTCTTGTTACGTACTGCTTTTCCGCAGCGAACATTTCCAGACAACTGCTCGAGTTACGGCGAACATTCTTATCTGACATTCTCAGGGCGTGCAAGAAAATAGCTCGACGGGTCGCCGTGAATGAAAATGAAAGATGCGGCGCGGCCGAATGAAATTAATGAAATTAAAGTAGCTCCATTTTTGCACTAAGTGCCTCATTGTCACTCGTTTCAACAACGGCGCACCCGTCGCGAATGTAATAACCGTGTAATTATGGATGTAATGAGAGATATTACCGTGATACGGTTGTTAACTGAGAAACTTCTTATCCTTTGTCGATACGCCCCGACGGGAAATTCTTCAATATTGAACATTGAAATAATTTACATTGCGTATAAATTACGCACCCTTTCGTATCTGCATTCCCGAATGAAACGCGTTTATTGTAATATAATAAATTACTACAACGGTGCGATCAAGTTTCCCGATTCATCAACGTGGCGCGGCGAGCTAATTCTATAGATAGAGTCGTTAAGGTAGGGCCCTGTAAGAAAGAACTCCTCGGAGGATTTTACCAGGTGCTGGTAGCCTCAGCTCTCAAATGAAACCATTACAGGCATGAATGACGATGGATTCATTACAGCAGCCGCTACGGTACCATAATCGACTATTTAGTAGATGGCGTTCCCAGCCGTTTCGCGTTTCTTACTACCGGAGTCCGCGGAGTAACATTCGAAAGTATGTCCATCGGTCGACTCGTCGAACGGAATTTCATATCAAGATTAGAGACGCGACGCGGCACTTCAAAGGAATATACACGTGTGTGTGTGCGCGTGCGTGAACTGTCAATGAGGCACTTCGTGGGAAGTTCAAAAACCCTTTTTGGTATAATTGAAAAAAGAAAAAGGGGAGATTAGTATTCCACGAGCCGAGGAGGAAAGCACATCCGTAAACGTTTGGCTGTACGGCAGCTTCTTAACATTCGCTCAAACGATTATGTGATGTGCATCCGGTCTACATAACTCGATCGTTTGAAGCTGCGAGCATTCCTGATCGCGGCAGGAACGATCAATCATTACGCGATGATTATACATAATGATAACTCGCGCCGTGTGTGTATCCTGAGAATATTTAAAGTTAAAGTAGGCTTTTAAAGTAGGCGGTGCCGCTTGATGAATATGCGCTTCTCGTCGCGATAAATAACTAGAAGCGAACGCGTCAATGGCCCGCGCTTCCTAATTGCACTATAATCCAAGAGATTGAACTTTCGCGCAGCGCATCGATCGGTTCCTCCGGCGTGTTCCAAAGTTTA